ACCCTGCACCACACGTTCTGAGACCCTGTGAGCAGGAGGTCTTGGGATAACCCCCAGGAACCCCCTGGGGATTCCCCACATTGAGACCCCCAGGATGCCAGACCCCCTTCCACTGGTGTGTTCCTCCGTGCCACAGGCACAGAGTCACCTCAGCGCACGCCAGCAGCACATGTCACCTCCATGGAGTCACCTTAGCACACACCAGCACCAGATGTCACCTCTGCAACCAGATTCTTCCATATAAAGCCTCAGCAGCGGCTGCTGCATGTTATTTATGGTCCCTCACACACACAGGGAGCCCGGGGGCCACCTCAGGCCCAGCTGTGTGCTTTTGCCCCTATGAAACACAAACACAAGAGCTTTTTGTTCAGAATAGGCTCCGTGTGGCCCTTCCAGCCTCATCCCTCTCTTGGGCTCCCAGCACACCTGGATTTGATCTGTAGCTACCTGGACATCTATTGCCTATTCCCGTGTTTCTCCCTGGCTCTGGAGCAGCCAGGAGGTTGATGGGAGCAAGCTCTGGAATGCCAGCAAGCAGCTCAGCATGACCTGGGCATTCAGTCCACTTTTTAGGCCATTTCTCTGTTGTAACAAGCCCTGACCCTCTGCCTGTGCCACATCCATGGCTCAAGCAGCCTTAAATCAAATTATCCCTTCCTCTCTCCAGGTGCTGACAGAGCCAGGCCAGGCAGCAGGGTACCAAACCACGGTCTGTCAGGAAATTACTGAGAGGGGGAAACCTGGAGAGACCAGGATTTTATCCCAAATTCCCTGAGTTGGAGCAACCCTCATGCCTGCTGTGGGCACCACTCTGCCCAGTGCAGCTCTGGGATGTCACAGGGAATGGGAGGGAGGAAGGATCTGGCCTGGGGAGTTCTCCCTGATGGATTTATGGAGACAAAAAGCACGGGGAGGGGGCATGCAAGGACAGCCAGGTGCTGGCTCAGCCTGACAGTCACATCCGATTACCTCCAATGTCAACACCACGTTAAAGCCCAAAGCCCAGCAAGGAGACGAGGGGCAGTGGAGGGGGCACGTGTTACACCAGGATGTCGATCCGGGGTGAAATTCCGTGCAAAATGCAAGAGATCGACCTGTAAATGGCTCGATTCCAGTTGGGAGAGTGGAGTTATTTCCAAAGAGAGAATGAGCAGGTGGGAAGAAGGCAGTGTTGGCCTCAAGGCCGGAGGACAGGCACAGAAAGGAGCCGGCATTGCTGTCGCCGCGGCGGAAAGAGGTTTGAGGGCTTAACTAAGTGAATCCTTTCGTGTCTCCACGCTGGGAAAATGTCTCCCAGCAGGGCTGTCTGGGAGAATCGCTGTCAGAGCCGACCCCGACCCCGACCCCGGCCGGGCCCCGCCGGCCCAGCCCGGGGAGAAGCCCCCGAGGAACGTCCCCGGCCCGGCTGGCGCTGGAGGGGCGCTGGGGAGGGCCGGGGCTGCGCCTTTCATATGCAAAGAGAGGAAGGGGGGATGGGAAAGGAAACTGAAACCGATCCTACCTCCTTCTCCGAGATGTAAAGCTGATCTCCCTTCAGAACCACATAACGGTTTTTCCAGATTTCCCTAAAAATGCCTTTCCCGCAAAATTTCCGCACCCAGCCGACCTTCTCCGGCTGCACAGGTTGCTGGTTTCCATCCTGGTTCCCCTAACACAAAGCGAGAGGGAAGAAAATGGGGGGGAAACGGGATTATTCTTGGTTTTACACTCCTTTTTCTCCCTCCCTTCCCTCTTTGCCCAACTTTTGTCTCCCCCTCCCTCCGGCCCCTCTCTCCGCCGACGCCGGGACCGAGTCCTTCCCCGGGGTCACTCCGCGGGGATTTTCGTGCTGCGGGCACGAAGCGACATCGGGAGGACGCTGCGAGGAGCGGGCAGGGTTCTCTCCGCGGTTATGTAAGACAGGCCGGCGTCTCCATCGCCTCATCCAACGGGCATTTACCCATGGAAAGGGGAACAGGAGGGGGATGGGCGGAATTTAAACCAGCTGGGGTTTTTCTACTGCGGTTTTCATCGCGTTTCGGAGCTTTTTATCAGCAATTAATTCAAGAGGTGAAATCTATGGTTGGTTTCTATCAGAGGTGTCTCCGTAGGCAGCGATGATCGGATCGCTGGGTGCAGCACACAACACGGTAAAGAGCGACGGATTGATGGTGCCTCCGGATTTTATCGTTTCCTTGTGTTCCAAGATGAAAACTGCCTGCCTACATCACCCAGTGTCTGTGGCGGGTGCGGGAGGCAGGAGGGGCGCTGGGCAGGGGCAGGAGCAGGGCCGGGAGCAGGGTTTGGGTCTCTTTGGATCTTCTTGGGGGTCCGTGCGCTTTCTGCGGGGGGAGCAGGGGCCAAGCGAACAACCGGCCCCGCAGAGACAATCCCCCCCCTCCCCAAAACATCCAGGAGCCTCCCTTCACCCTGCCTTACCCCGCCGAACAACCCGTTCTCTACTCACCCTTTTCGCAGAATTATTTTTTTTCATCGTTCCTCGGTGCGCTCGGAGGCGATTCGGGGGCGGGGGTCGCAGAGGGGCTCCCGCGGCCTCCTGGCGCGGGGGAACACCCGGGGCTGCGCCCGCGATCCGCGTGGCTCAGGGCCCTCTCCCGTTACACGGCGCCCGGTCCGGCGCTCTGAGCCATCGCCAGCGCCGCCGCCGCCGCCGCCGCCGCCGCGTCCCCCCCCGCCGCCACCATCCCGCAGCTCGGGGGGCTGCGCTGGGCTGCGCCGGGCTCCCGAGCTCCATCTATAGCCGCCAGCCCGTGACGTCGGGGTTCGCGGCACGGGGCGAATCGCAGCCCACGAGGGTTTTTCTTCTTTGTCTCTGACTCACCGGCGACGCGGGTCCGTGGGGCAGCGGCAGCGGTGCCTCGCCTGCTGTTCCCACCGGGGACCAGCCGCGTTGCCGGCGGTGTCGTGGGTCACCGGGAAACTTCCTAGGAGAGGGAATAGCAGCCGGGTGGCACTGGGAGGGTTTTCGCCCCTAAAGGTGTTCGGAAGTGGGAGCAAATCCCTCTGGAGAGAGGAGATGGGGGATTTCCTGGGGAGGGGGATGGAGGAAGGGGTCGCTTCCAGCACGGAGGGTCCGACAGCCAGGATTCAGTTGGATTTAGAGCATGGGTTCCAAAAGTCAGGACACACTCAGCTTCCTAAAAAATGCACTTTTTTGGCTTATTTTGTCTGCCTCCTCCATGTCCTGCAAGTAAGATTGATCCATCATCCATCAGTGGATCAGGTTTCCAATGACTGTCCATCCCCCACCCTTGATTTCAAGCTGTAGTTTCACCCCAATATTCTAGAATTAATGCAGAGTCCTAGGGATGTACTTGGATTCTGGAGTATTTCCAGAGCTTCTGTGTTTGTATTCCATTCTGAGCATTGGCATTTTTGCCATGAGCTGTGGATGCACTGCATACCTGAGAATACCTGGGACAGAGACACAAACCACTCTCTACACCAAATCCAGGGGTTGCCTTCTCATCCTATGCCTCTGCAATCCTGAACTCCATGGGCCTCAAGACCAGGATTTGTTGTCTCTGTGCCTCAGTTTCCCCTTTTACCCCAAAGTTTGTTCCAGGCAGGGCTGATAGCAGAGGACAGATGACCCACGTCAGCTGCCCAGGGCCCCCAGTGTATCCCTAGGACATCACAGAACCTGCCAATTTATTTAATGATATTTTGCCTTCCAACTGGACTTGTCCTTCCTCACATCCTGTTTTTGGTGGCCAGGGCCTGCAGAGCACCGGCTGATGGCCAATACCAGATGGCACAGTGCTGGTGGCAGTAGGACAGCTCCGTTGTGCCCTTTGGATCCAGGGCCCACGCTCTTCCCAAACGTCCTCTGGTGCCAGGGAAGTTGCCCTGAAACCACAGCAGGTAATGCACCTGCACACACCTCCCTCCTCATCCCTGGGAGCAGAAATTCAGCTGCAGTTGGGATCCTCAGGCTGTTCTGACAGTGCGACAGTGAGTCACACTGTGAAAGATGTGACCAATGATTCAGAGCTGGAAACATCAACAATTTACAGGGAAGGAAGGAGATAGGAGGGAACCCGTCTCCCATTTCTCTACCAGGAACAGGAGACTGTGCTTCCAGCAATGAGGCTGACCCTGGGGGCTGCTCACCAGTGGTCAGTGCAGCTTCTCATCTCCATCCCTGTGGGCAGAATTAAAAGCCTCTTCAGGGTGTGTTTGTGTCTCTCCCTGTATTCACAAGCCCCTGTTGCTACCCTGGCCCTGATGCTGTAGCTGCTTCTTGTGCTGATTGCCAGAATCGCCTCTTCTTGCAGAGCAGAGCATCAAACTCTCAGTTTATTTATGTATTTAACACCCCACACGCAGCATTTTACCTCTGGATATCAAGTGTGAAGCTGCTGCCTGGAAGGTGAGTAGAGTTTAATTAGGACACATGCTTTTCTTTGTCTCTGAACACAATTACAGCCTTAGTGTCTGGGGAAGGGGCTGCTGGAGCAGTGGATGGGGCAGGGGGCTGCCCAGTATCTTCTGACAGCTGTGACTCAGCTGCCCTCTGTTGGGGTCTCAGGCTGTCAGAGACTTCAGTCACCTGTAAGAGGGAATTCTTGCAGCTCTGCCTGTCCCAATGACCCAAAATTCACCATAAATTCACCATACAGATGCCCACCCAGTTCCACCCTGGCTGTGGGCAGAGAATTCTCCCCCAGCACAGGCTTTGTTCTCCCCTCCCTTCCCCAAAGAGCTGACCCCCAGGGCCAGGTCCCCCCCTCCCTGCAGGGCTTTGCTCTCTCCCACATCAACAGGACTTAGTTGTGATGCCAAGATAATTCCCGGGGATTTAGGAGCTCATTGCATTTGATCTGGCTTGTTAATTCCCAATCAAGTGCTGATTAGAGGCCAGGGAGCAGAGCTGGAAACACACTTGCAGGTTCCTTGGTGTGGTCCTGGAGGGGAGCAAAAGCTCCCGTGGAGGCTCAGACTGTAACTGCACCTTGTGGCCTTGGGAAAGGGAAAGTGGGAATCATCTAGCAGACAGATTTGGCCAAAGTGGGGGATTTAATAGGATTCAACATATACAGATAACAGAGCAAAGGGCTCCTGTGCCCACCAGCCACACCCCCACAGCTGCTCCCCCAGCACGGGGCAGCATCGCTGGGCTCCTCATGGGACTCATCCCGTGTGTCCCATAAAGAGCCAGGAGCTGCAGGGATTCAAGGGCTTTCCCAGGCTCTCCTCAGGTGGCCATCCCAGTCCTGGAGCTGTTTGTGAGGGGACAATGAGGAGCTGCAGTGGGGGGCACATCCTTGCCTTTGGGCTAGCAACAGCTCCAGCGTTCGCTGCCATTCTGGGTGTGGAGAGGAAGCTCCAGCTGCAGGGCAGGAACATCCTGCTCTGCTCTGGGAAAGCTCTGAATGTTCAAAAAAGTACTCATTCCTTCAGGATTCACCGTCGGCTGCTGGACCTTGGTGGGACTTGGGAGCTGTCAGTGCTTCGACCGCGGAATCCTGCGGCTGTGACCTCCTCCAGGAAGCTGCCAGGAAAGGTTCAGGTCAGTGGAACAAGGGCCAGAGATCTGCTCATGGCACCCTGATACTTGTTCCAGAGGTGTCCAAGGCCAGAGGGGCTGTGACTGTCCCCAGCACAAGCCTCAGGCCTGCTGGCATCACACACGCACAGCTGGGAGCAGCTCCCAAAGCCAGGAATGTTCCCAGCTGGAAGGATGCTGCCCGAGGATGGTTCCTCTGGCAAGTGGCACCACGGCCATTCCCAGGCTGACTCATCACTCAGTGTGCTGATCAGGTGATCTCAACAGCAGTGCTTAAAAAATACCCCAAAAGATAAAGAAATACAAAGCAAGATATGCCACAAATCCTACAGAAATGGGATTCCTCTAAACCGGGGAAGTGGGGCTGGAGCAGCTCTTCCTGCCCAGGTTGTGAATCTTGAGGGGTTTGAAATATAGTAAAACCCTCAAATCTCCTGCAAAACCCTGCAGCAACACCCAGTCTGAGTCCCATCAGACACAGCTGGGAGGGGGCACAGCCAGGGCACTGCCCACAGTGGCACCAGCTCTGGCACAGGCTCTGGCACCTGGCTTTGTGTTCCAGCCTGAGCTCTCCCTCCTCCAGGTTATTTTTAGGCACTAGAACCAGGCAGAACTGAGCTCTGGCAGGGAATGACTGGTGTTTTTCGGGTCTCTGGTTCTGTGCTGTCTGGAGCAGGTTGTGCCTGTGACCAATGACACCTCAGGCTCCCTTGGCACGGCCTCTCTGAGCACATTCCCAGTCTGGAGCGACTGGAGGCAAGATCCAAACTCCCACCTGCCCTCCAGGGATGAGCTGCACCACAGCACAAATTCCCCCTGCTGAGGCTGCTGTTCTGAGGACCCTGCAGGAACAGGTGAGGATGCAGCACAGGCACCTGCAGGTACCTCCACAGCAGGGTCTGGAGATGGAACTCTCAGGAGAAATGAGCCTTGTGCCGTGGAGGGTCCCCAGGAGGATCCGGTGCCACCACTGTGGCTGTAACTGGGTAACTGGGTCAGGCCCCACATACTGGGATTAGTCCCAGCAGGTTCATCTCAACCTGCCCAGGATGAGTCAGCCCCAGCACCAGATGTTCCTGGCAACCCTTTTTATCCGATTATTGATCCTTTGTAACCCTTTCTCCTCCAAACCCTGCGGAATTGCTCTGGAATCTCTAGGAGCAGAGCGGATTCCCCATCCTTTGGGCCACCCCTCTGGGCCCACAGATGTTGGTCCCAATTCCAGCAGGGAGTAAGGACAATGGGACCAGGATTAGGTGCTTACATGGCTGCTCAGCGCATTAACACCCAAATCCCCTTGTTTCTGGTGATATATCTGCCCTAATCCCACAGGAATCAGCAAGGCCATGGATTACGTGAGGGGTTGGGACACACTAAAACCTGGCTTTCCTCGTATCAGACACCTTATGGATGTGCTGAGATATCCCTGATCCTAGGGCACTGTGCTGAAATCGTGGATAACAGTGGACAGGAGACAGTTTTATTGTCCTTCCATCCTCAAGGAAACCTTATCCTAGAGAAAATGGATCATTTGGGACAGAGCTGTTTCAGAACAGGCCCTTTGCTGGCCAAATCCGGCCCTTCCAAAGCACCAGCCTTTTATTTTCCTTTCCCCCCACCCCTACACTTCATTCTTTGAAATGCAAATTTGGATACAGAATCCCAGCTTTTCTGTAAATAATTCAGGGACTGCACAGCAGCAGGGCCCAAACCAGCCCGGGTGGCTCCTAGCAGCACCAATCCAAGCAGATCCAGTGATGGAGCTGCAGATCCTGAGCTTCAGCAGCAGCTCAGGATTTTTCCCACCATCCCACTCTGAGCACTGGGAATCTGGAGAGAATTCCTGCTCTCCTGCCTGGCCAGCAGCAAGCTGTGCTGATGGGAAGCAATTCCCACTGTAGCCTCAATTCTTTCCTGTGCCCAAAGTGAGTAATTTGGGTTCAGGAAAAGTTATTTGTATTTATAAACCAGACATTTCACACTGGGAATTCCATACTGACAGGGATCTTTGCCCACCTTCAACAAAGCAGATGCAGGTTCATTCAGTGCTGAATTCACATGTGCTGCCCTGGCTTCCCATTGTTATGAACTAGAAAAACTGCAGAAAACTCTACTTGCCTGCCCTTGAATTGATGGAAATGCAAGTTAAACCTCCAGCTCAGAGATCTGTCCCACAGTTACCATGAGCAGAGCTGGGTCCGGAGCACTGACACCCATTCCCATGTGGGGATCCCCCAGGTATCCCAAATTCCTGCCCTTCCAGCAGTTTCACAGGCAGGACCTGCCGAGGGGTGGATTTTACCTCCTGGTGTTGTGGATGGTGGTCCCACCCAGGACGATGCGGACGCCGGGGTTGGAGCGGTTCAGGTTGAACACGGTCAGAGCCTCCTCGTAGGTGGCCCCTCCGATGAGGAACACGATAATGTCCTGAGGCCTGGGATAAAGGCACAAATCATGGATTGGTTTGGCTTGAAGGGACCTCAAAGCTTATCTCTAAGGCACACCTTCACCAGACCAGGTGGATCCAAGCCCTGTCCAACCTAGCCTTGGACACTTTCTGGGATGGAGCAGCCACAAATATTGATTTGGGATCAGACAAAGCCAAGGATAAATCCTGCACCTTGGAGGCAGTGATCCATGATCCAGAGGGTGCCTCCTCTAGACCCTCCCTCATCCCTGTAATGTGCCGAGCTCGGAGCTGAAAACAACCACTGAATCCCCCAAAACCTCTCCTCTCCTAAACTTTCAACCACAGCCCTGAGCAGCCTCCAGCAGCACCACCCCGATCCCTGTGGATCCATGTGCCACATTTAATGCATGATTTGCTGGGGCTGGGAAATCAGGATCGATTCTGGAGTCAGGCAAGGACACAGGCTGCAGGAGCTGTGCTGCCTTGGAGCTCCCAGGCTCAGGGCTTGTGACTGCTCAGGGACTGCCAGAATTTGTGCCTCAGTTCACCTGAGGGGACATTTCCCAGCCAGCAGGGAAACGTGGGATGGTCAAGGGAAGCCAAGCAAGAGGAAGGGAGGAAAGGAGGGAAGCACCTTCCTCCATCCCAACACAAACTCAGGTGTGCTGTGCACATCCTGCTTTCAAGTGAGCTGGTCCTTTCTTCTCCCATAACCACCCTCCCAGTCCCTTGGAAGGACCAATAACAGGGATTTCATTCTTGGAGCACTGCTTGGACAGCATGACCTGGAGCAAAGCTGCTCCTGCCTGGCTGGACACAGGAACAGAGGGAGCATGTTGGCCACTAGATCTCCATGGATCCTCACACCATTTCCTCCCTGCCCAAGGGATGTGGGAAAGCAGGGAAAACTCACGGGAAAGGCGAGTGTAGTCCTTTCCCACTGCGATCTGTATCACCACTAAGCACCCAAAGCCTGTCTCCTCAGAGTCTGGGTTAGGTCTGCATGACCCTCTCCAGCAGGATCCCGTTTCCATTGGGAACAGTACTGGCTCAGGCCAGGAGAGCTGCAGCTGGACTATTTTTGGCAGTCTCCAAACACCATCACAGAGCCAGCTCTGATGAGGAAGGGCTTCATCCTTCACCTGAGCACATCCAAGCCAGCTAAGCAAGCCAGGCTGGGACATACCCCAGTCCTGCTCCAGGGAACATTCCTGGGGATACAAGACCTCCACAATCAAGGGATTTCTGTGCCAAGCCCTAGTTCTGTTCATCATCAGTGCAACCCTGCTGTGGGGACAGCAGGGATGTCCCAGTGCCAGGGCCAGCCAGTGTGTCCCAGTGCAGGCTCTGCCCCAATGGCCCCACGTACCTGTCCCGGAGTGTGTTGGGGCCCAGGTAGGGATACTGGCTGTCCTTGAGCTTTCCCTTGATGAGCTGGTCCAGGGTTTCCTGGAGCAGGGGCTGGTGCTGGGTGTACACGTTCTCGATGCCCTGCGGCCGGAGAGAAGCTCTTTAGAAGTGGCCCAGCAAGGAAGGAGCATCAGCAGAGGCACAGCAGGTACTACCCCTAAATTTAGGACTGAGAAGCTCTCCAGCAGCTCACTCCCGTTGTCCTGAGTGGAATCAGGCCCTGAAGCCACTGAGCCAACCCTGCCAGCCCTGCTCCTCCTCTGGGCTGCAGTTCTGGTTGAGTCTGTCCCCATTTCCCCAAGGCATCTCGGTACCTTCAGGCCTTTGAGGAACTGCTTGGTGATGGCCACGGCATCCTTGGGGCTGAACAGGTCACTGCCTCGGACACGCTTCCCTCCGTACTCCACCACGGCAGACACCAGCTGTGCAGGGAGAGGGCAGGAGCCCCATCAGCTCCTTCCAGGCTGTGCTGAGGACTCACTGCAGACACCTCGTGGAGGTGTGCAACGGGGACAAGGAGCCACGGAGGCGATCCCAATGGAACTGTACATGGAGGTGAGGGGGCAGAGCAGCAGCACACCCACGCTCCCCAGACCCTCCTGCTTGAGGAGAAGCTTCATCTCCATCGCCTGCAGCAGCGACAGCAGCTCCTCCACACGAGGTGACATCATCCCGCTCCTCCACCTCCTCCCCAGCTGCTCCTGGCACTGCCGCCTGCTCCCTCCCTGCCAGCTCCTCTCCATCCCCAGCCCCTCGCTGCAGCCACTGCCTGTGCTGCAGAAGCTGGGGAAAGTGGGGGAGGAAAAGAAGAGAGGAAGCACATCCCAGGCCCATGTACGTGCCACACTCCCCTCCCAGCAGGCTCCTGCCATCCCTTCTTGATTAAATCCTTCATAATATCACAGAATCACAGACTAGTCAGGAGTGGAAGGGACCTCTGGAGTCCAACCCCCAACATCACTGATTTAGGAAATGGAAATCGAGCCACTTATTTAGAACACCTTTTACAGCCACACCCACAGGTCCCAGCCGAGCTCAGAGCTCTGTGCAACAACACAGCCCTGGGCTGACCCGGAGCAGGCAGATTTCACCCCAAACAGCAGCAATTCCCCCATCCTGTAGGACATCGGGGCTGCCCCACCCTGGGGTTATGCCCCGGTACTGCCCTGCCCCACCCTGGGGTTACCTGGCGGTACCTGCCCCCATCCTGCCCCACCCCGGGGTTACCTGGCGGTACCTGCCCCCATCCTGCCCAACCCCGAGGTTACCTTGTGGTACCTGCCCCCGTCCTGCCCCACCCCGGGGTTACCCCCCTGTACCTGCCCCACCCCGGGATTACCTGGCAGTACCTGCCCCCGTCCTGCCCCACCCCGAGGTTACCTGGCGGTACCTGCCCCCCATCCTGCCCCACTCTGGGGTTACCTGGCAGCACCTGCCCCCATCCTACCCCACCCCGGGGTTACCTGGCAGCACCTGCCCGCATCCTGCCCCACCCCGGGGTTACCTTGCAGTACCTGCCCCCCATCCTGCCCCACCCCGGGGTTACCTGGCAGTACCTGCCCCCCATCCTGCCCCACCCCGGGGTTACCTTGTGGTACCTGCCTCCCATCCTGCCCCACCCCGGGGTTACCTGGCAGTACCTGCCCCCATCCTGCCCCACCCCGGGGTTACTTTGCGGTACCTGCCCCCCATCCTGCCCCACCCTGGGGTTACCTGGCAGCACCTGCCCCTGCCCCACCCCGGGGTTACCTTGCGGTACCTGCCCCCCATCCTGCCCCACCCTGGGGTTACCTGGCAGCACCTGCCCCTGCCCCACCCCGGGGTTACCTTGCGGTACCTGTCGGTGCCGCCGCGGCCGCGCAGCTCCTCCAGCAGCGCCGGGAGGCCGCTGCTGGCGTGGCGCTCGTAGCGCAGCGCGTAGAGCATCACCAGCCGTGCCGCGTCCAGCTCCGACACCCGCGGGCTCTGCAGCAGCCGCCGCACGCTCTGCGGGACACCGGGCACTGCTCAGGGCCACACCGGACTGGGGACACTGAGGACTGCCCTCGTGGGTGTCACCGTTTATCAGTCATTTATCAGTCACTTATCAGTCACTTATCAGACTGGTTTCACTGCCCAGCAACAACACCGCCACAGGGACAATGCAAGAGGATCCAGTTGTGGTATAAACCCCACAGCCCGGCTTCCTCAGGAGGATTTACTGGAGTACCAGTTGGTTTTGGGTCTTTCCATGGAACTGGGAATTCAGAGCACACCTCTGATGGGTCCTGTGCCCCTCGTGGTGCTGCAGGAGGGGAAAGTTGTGCACAGGCACTTTCAGACACCTCCAAGCTCTGCCTGGGTTTTTCAAGCTCAAGCAGAGCCACCCCACAGGTTCCACCACTATAGTGGCTGCAAAAAAAAAACCCTCAGGCAATCCCCCCAACTCCATTTCCTTTTTGGAAGGTGTAAGGCAGAGGCATCAAAGTCTCAGCAAACCTTTGGATGGGAGATGTGGAGGAATAAACTGCACATTTGGTAGAAAAGAAGGGAAGGAATTAAAACATGGAAAGAAGAGATCCCAGCTACCGGGAAGAGCAGGGATCTGTTATCACTCCTGATCTGCTGCTGGATTCACCACCCTGGCCCAGATGTTTATTGGCATCTATTTAACTGATGCTGACTGAAAACACAGCATAAAATCCTGGCTGAGGAGGAATTTGACCATTGAAGGTCAGGAATTCACCTGTGAGGGGAGAGCCGGAGCCCCAGGGAGGTTCCTGTGCTGGCAGTGCCAGGAACAGCAGGAAACAGAGAACAGAACAGCCATTGTCCATGGGAGGAGCCGGGATTCCAACCTTCCATTCAGCTCCCAGGCCTCATGCACTGTGTCAGGGTTAATGAGAGCCCAGGGGAGGAAGAACCCGAATGTCCCAGACTGGTGGGGCCAAGGCCACCAGAGATCCAACAATCCCTGAAGTGACATCAGAGGAGAACAATTCCAGCCTTATTCCAGGCTCTGGCTGCTGCTTCTTGTCCCATGGCCTTGCCCCTCTTGCTGCCAGTGGGAGCCGCAGCAGGGACAGCCCAGGGACAAAGATCCCACCTACAGGGGTTTCCATTTATTTCCAAGCTGCTGCATATCTTCCAGTGGCCTCAGTTGCCAGAAATACAACAGGGCTTTTCAGGCACAGGGCTGGATGGAAACTGAGGCAGCATTTCTGCTCTAAAACTGCAGAAATGCTGTTTGTGTAGAGCAGGACCAAGGTGACCCCAGGAACACCAGGACTCACCTGGCACCAGCTCTGTGCTGTGTATATTCCATCAAAAATCATGGCTCACAGTGCAGGGAGGGAGCAGACTGGGAATATTTGACTTTTAAACCTCAACAACCTGAGCTGGAGACAGTGATACAGCATGAGGACCTCAGAGGCTGCTTCCAGCAAACACATTTCTGGCTGCATTCCCAGTTCCATACTCAGCCATGTAAATCCTGCCAGACACCAGCTATGGAATCCCATCCCTACACTCGCTGGTCCATAGGGAAGCATCAACTCAGAGGATGGGAGCACATTCCACCTCTGGGGACAGTCCAGTGTTATCCCCTCGGCCCCCACTTGGAGTTCAGAGTCACAGAGGTGGGGAAGAAACTGATCTCAAACCTGCTGGAAATGCTTTTCCTCATTTCCCAATCCCTCTGCTTCCCCAGTGCCATGCAGGGGTCTGTTACGTGTTGGGAATCCCCCTCCACTAATCAAGGAATTATTTTTCAGAAGTGAGTGGCTGCTCCAGCCCTGCTCTGAGCCAGCCCCATCCCAAAGCTGCTGTTGAACACCAGCCCAAATCCATCACCACTGACTCTGCCAGACCCTGCTCTGGTCACAGCACAAGGGGCCACACTCAGCTGTCACAGAGCCTCCCTCCAGCTTTTCCAGGCCTCTCTGCCAAAGAAATCTTGGATCTAAGAGTCTTTCCAGTGGCTTTTCTTAAAAAAATAGGTAAAGACAATTCCACGGATTGCAGCTCTTCTCCTGCCCAACACACATCAGCTCCTGCATAATGTCTGAGGTTTTTTTATCCTAGTGCCTGCCAGAAGCCAACTGGCTGAATATAATGAAAGAATGTTGGATTGTGGGATGTAAGGACAGGATTTGCAAAGATACTTCTCAAGCCAGTTATTAACGATGACTCATTCCCATCTGAGCTGAGCGCCGAGGAACAATTCCACATGCAGTGTCCCTCCCCACAGGGTATCCACACACAGAGCTCCCACTTCACATCCCCACTCCCAAGGGAGTGATGGGATGAAATCCCCCAATCCAGAGGCGGGATGAGTACCTGGAGGGCACTGGAATGGTCATTCTGGCAGGCCAGCTCCTGCTCCACCTCTGACACCTCCAGCAGGTTCCGCTCCGCCACCAGCCGGGACAGCTCCCCCACCACTGTCACGTGCTTGGACACTGTGCCTGACATCTTCTTGAACTGAGGGTAGTTCTCCACAAAGGCCTGTGATGGGAAACTGAGGCAGTGGGTGCTTCCAGGGAAAAGCAGGAGATAAAAGATGGGTGCAGCCAGCCATAAACTGCACAAATTCCCAGCAATTCTGTGCAGGTGTGCAGAGGATCAGACACCTTGATCTCAGGAGCTCACAGGATTTCTCTCATTACCAGGAGATTTCTAGGAGAGATGTACTTTTTATTTACTCCTATGGATGGATGGGACACAGCTGGGATGGACTTTGTCTGTACCTTCATATCTGCTATGGACTCCAGCTTCTGCTGCTCCTTTGGCTTCCTCCTCTGGAAATCCTCCATCAGGTTCTTGATGTTGGTGCCAATCTCGGCGAAGTTCAGGTACATGTTCTGTGTGGAACAAGATGGGAAGCAGAGGGAAACTCATTTGAGAGAGTCTTGACCAAGGAAGAGCCTTGAGCACCTGGGAGAAGGTGGCTCCATCCCCCAAAACCTGCAGCAGGGTTTGAAATCAAACCACAAACACGTTTTTTAGGACATGTTATCCCACGTCAGGTGTCGCTGGTGCTGCAAACTGGCTGTCACAAATGGCACATCCCCACCCCGAGGCTCAAAGTCACAGGGAAGCTCCTTTCCCGTGGCAAACCCCCAGACATGGGTGCTGGAGAAGCCTCCCTGGGACACCTACGTTGGCGTAGAACTCGTCGTTCTCAGCTGACAGGACGACCTCCCGCAGGTCCTTGCTGATCCCCGGCACCCGGGACAGGTCGATGCGGTTGTTGTTGATCCCCAGCAGCTCGTGGACCATGGCCTGGTACGTCCACTGCCAGGGGACAGAGAAAGGCAAAGGGATGACCTTGGTGAGACACAGCACTGGGAAATCAATGGAGTTCAGCTGAACCCAGCCAGAGCTGCTCCTGCTACCCAGGACACACAGCAGAGTTTGGGAGTGTGTCCCTCAGAGCAGCCAGGACATTCCGATGAAAATGAATATCATGGATAAATAATCAGATGGGGAGACAGTGCAGAGGGAAACCTTCCCCCTCCAGGGCCATTCCTGAATCACAGTATCACAGGATGGTTTGGGTTGGAAGGGACATTAAACCCATCCTGTTCATGGCAGGGACACCTCCCACCAGCTCAGGAATTCCTGCAGGTACCTTCAAAAGAGACTGAAGAGTGATGAGGATTAACATTCCTGTTCCAGCACCTCTGTTGGCCACCAAACCCCATAACTTTCTGCCCAGGCAGGGAGGGGTCCCACAGTTCTGCTGCAGAATTCCCTACATGCTCCGCTGGCAGGAGCATTTCTGCACATCAGGAATTTCTATTTTTATCCTGAGAAGTCTAATAATAACCCAGAGAGAACAGTGACAGCTGATCAGAGCCCTGCCGTGCCCAACACGCCATTTACACCCCCAGGAATCTCTTTGGGATAGGAAATCCTGAAACAGCAGATAACGCCTGATGCTGAGCACAATCCTAAACACCACAAACCAGGTGTGAGCTGGGCTGTGACAGCCACACCCCTCTGTGACACAGATGTCACCTCCAGCTCCTGCAGAACTGGTGTTACAGCAGCTCTGAGGCTGCTGGTCCCACCCAGGTGCAGCTCCTGATCCCCAGGTTCCAAGGGAACCCCACAGAAAGGAAGGGAGACCAACAGATCCTGCCAGGATCTGCAGCACAGCATGGAACAAATAAATCCAACAGCTCCCAGCAAACCCAGCAGCCATCAATAACAGAGGGAGACTCAGCAGGGCAAGGTCACTCGACAGCCGTGTGCTGTTCACAGCCCCACAAACAACCCTTGGGAAAGGCCCTGCAAAGCACTGGGGCTCCAGAAGCCACATGGAAGTGCTGGTGGCCCTGTTTTCCAGAGTGCTGGGTCCATCTACCACTGAAATCAGCACAAATAATCCCCACTCAGGTCTGGAAAATCTAGCCAGGGGATAAAAGAGGAATTTTGTAGGGACTGGGGGTGGGAAGCAACACTTTTCTCTCCTACATCCAACCCATGACCTGACAGGGGTAGAACTCCAGCTGCTGCAGGACTCCCACCCCTTCCCCAGCCTGGCACACCTGGGTGTGCTCACCTGGTTCAGGAGTGGGGTGATGGCATCGTCCGACCGGTCCAGGATGAGGAGCAGGGGAGGGACCTCTGTGCGCCGGAAATCAAACAGCTCGTACTCCTTCGTGATCACTTGCTGTGGAGAAATGGGAAAAATCCCACGTGGAACGCCTGGAAAAGGCTCCCTCTCAGCGTGGACTCAGGCACAGAGGGAAGGGAGGCTGAAACCCCAACTGTGCTGCTTTGTCTGCACTGCCAGGGAGGAGCTGAAGGCCCCAGGGAACTGGGACACTGCTCCCAGGAATGCTGTACTGGGAGCGGAGCAGGACATGACCTGCCTAGTGCTGGGCTTCCAAGTAAATGATGGAATTTACAGGAATTGACTGAAAACAGGTGTTTCCCTCCACATGTAAAAAACTAACCAAGACTGAATTCATCCTAAAGGGATGTGCTGTGGGTTGCTCTCACCTTCACACACTCGGCCAAGCGCTTCGCTGGCTCTGAGGAGAGCTGGTACCGGATCATGGGGCACTTCTTCAGGGACAGGAGCAGAGCAGTGAGCCCTTGGGTTGTCCTGGTGAGCTGAGCCGGGTCCCAGCTGCGGCCCTGGAAGGAAAGGCTGCACCTCACATGGATGCACTGGTCCCAAACTTTCCCACGTCCTTGTTTCTAAGCCCTGAAGTCTCACAGGAAAGCACAGCTTCCCTGAAGCAGCAGATACCCAGGGGCTGAACACAAACTCCCTGCTGCTCCTCTCCTTGCCACGGCCCATTCCCCTCCAGCAGCCCCCCAATGCCCCGGGTTGTGAGGGCTACACGTTACCCAGTGCAAGGACAACTCGCCGTGTTCCTACCCGGCAGCAGCCCAGGAGGTTCAGGGAGAAGACGTGTGGGTTCACCGCAATGTAGTCGCCATAGAACTCCTGGGGAAGGCAGCAGGACAGCCCTGTGTCTCTGACCCTGACCCCAGGCACAGCCATGGGCCACCACTGACCACACAGCCCCCTCCACCACCGGGACACACTGGTTCAGAACATCCTTCCTTCCTCCACCCCAAACCCCTCCAACCCCGCTGAGAACTCCCATTGGTACTGTGCATTGCTCTGGTGCCCAGCTCTTCATCAGCACCAAAAATGAGGAATCGTGGAATTACTGGCTTTGGAAAAGCCCTTTAAGACCACTGAGTCCAACTGTCCCTCCAGCACTGCCAAGGCCACCTCTAACCCCCTGCTGCCAAGTGCCACATCCCCATGGATTTGAGCTAGGCAGCACCTTGTGAGACACCAAAACCAGCAGCAGCTGTGAGAGCACAGGGCACAGAGAAATGAGACCTTTTCTACCTTTTACCTCTTCATCCCACATTTGTGTCCATCCCTCCTCTCACCCAGGCCTGGCATGCACCAGTTGGGAACAACAGCCCTCCTGCTCCCAGTGTCTGGCAGCCTGGACCTTCCCTTTGTTTTTGGATCTATCTAAAAACATCCAAACTTCACCTGGACTTCAGCCACGACCTCCTGCTCATCGGCCTCGGCCAAGGCCTTCACATCGCTCTTGCTGATGACGTTGCTGAAATCTGGGAGAAAACAGGGACGGGACAGTGGGGCTCCATGCAGACCCTGTGGGATGGGCAGTCTGATCCCCTCTGGAGCAGGAGCAGATCCCACAGGGACCCTCTAACCCTGCACCTGCCGGTGCTGGAATCCCGAGCCACCTCCCAGGGATGCTCCCAACTCATTCCCTGTCCATCTCCCCAGCGCCTGGTCCCGCTGCGTCCTGCAGAGCCACGATGACATCTAGAGGCCACTTCACCCAGTTCCTGACATCCTTCTGATTAATTCCTGGCCTGCAGGACTGGACTTCCACCCCAAACCAGCTGGAGTCATTCTGCCTCATTCCCAAACTCATGGAACATTCCCTGAGCAGGACATGTGGGAAGCCCCTGCCTGGTACGCTTGGCACAGGAAGGTGCCGTGTGATCTTTGCTGAGGTGTGGAGCCCGTCCCATCCACACTGGGATGAGGAGCCTGTTCCAGGTTGATGGAGCTCCAGGACCCCTGGACTCTGCATACTCACAGATGAAGTAGATGCTGTACTTGGGCCTTCGCAGCTCCTGCACCAGGAGCTCCACGTTCTCCTGGATGGAAACAGCACCAGGAAGAGCAGAGTTAAGGAATACAGAACCATGGAATCCTTAGGGTTGGAAAAGCCTCTGAGATCTTGGTGTCCAGCCATTCCCCCAGCACTGCCAAGGCCACCAGGGACCCCTGTCCCCAGCAGCCACATCCACATGGATTTGAACAATTCCCGGGACTGTGGCTCCACCACTGCCCTGTGCCAAGGCTGAACAACCCTTTGCATGGCCGAATTTTCCCAAATATCCAACCTAAACCTCCCCAGCACCATTTAAGGCCGCTTCCTCCCGCTCTGCCCCGTACCTTGGTGGGCCGCAGGAAGCAGATGGCCTTGAGGTGCTTCATGGGCTCCCTGTTGGGTGAGTCGAGGCGCTCGAAGAGATAAACCTCGCGCTGCAGGATCTCGGACTGGGTGTACACCACGCTCACGGCGCCGGTCTGAGGGCGGCAGGGGACAGCGCCCGTCACGGCCCGGCCCCGGCCCCGCTCCCGGCCCCGCTCCCGGCCCCGCTCCCGGCCCCGCCGCTCACCGTCTCCCGGTCCATCAGCAGCACCTTCATGCCGGGGCCGCTGTCCTCGATCATCTTGGACACGTACTGCCGGACCGCCAGCACCGCGTTCATCCTGGCGGGGATGCTGCGCTACCGGCCTGCCCCTGACCCGCTTCGGCCCGGCTCTGGTCCGGCTTCGGCCCCGCTTCGGCCCGGCTCTGGTCCGGCTTCGGCCCCCTTCGGCCCCGCTTCGGCCGCCTTCGGCCCCGCTTCGGCCGCCTTCGGCCCCGCTTCGGCCGCGCCCCGTCCGGCCCCGCTGCCTGCCGGGAGCTGTAGTCCGGCCGCGGGAGCGGCCCCGCCCGCCGCGGCCCCGGGGCTCCGCAGCCCCGGCCCGTCCTTCCCCTCCCGAGGGACCCGAGGGCGGAGCACTGAGCCTGAACCCAGCCGGACTCGCCCCGCAGTTAAACCCACCCAAACCTACCGTAAAACAACACGAACCCGTTCCAACCCGCGCTAAATGCACCCTAAAACGAACCTAAGCCCATCCTAAACACACACAAACCCCCTCCAGGTCTACCCAAACCACCCCAAACAACCCCAAATCTCGTAGACCCACCCCAAGCTCCCACACACGAGGGAGCTGGGCACACCCGAGGGTCCCCCTGGGGTCCCCAAGGACGAAGGACGTGACTCGGTTTCCCTGAGCTGCTCCTGGAAACCCGGGATGGACAAGGCTGCTGCTCCAGGACCGTTCCTGCCCCGCTAATCCCGGGAGCAGGACGCTGGGATTAGGTGCTATTCCCGGCAGGACAGAGCTGACCCACGGCCAGGCACTCCCCCGCTGCCAAAGCCCTATTTATAGCGGGGGATAACAATTAATTAATGAGCATGTCCTGCCTTTCACTTCCAATTAAGCGGCTCCCCACTTCCTCTCAGAGTGACGGACACCTTTGTCGTCTTTAATCCTTCCATTTCCTGCCAAGATTTTGCTTTTCACTTCCAAACGCTTTGGGTCTTCTTTCTGGAGGCTGGGGAGTTTTGCACATGTACAAACTCCAAAGATTTCAGTGGTTTAAACAGGGATTTACCTAGAAAAATACAACTCCAGTATTTTCTTTCTTACATTTTTTGTTATTTCTTGCCTGATTTTGTTTCTCATATCCAAACTGATGCCTTAAGGAGCGTGTGGATGCTCCTGGCCAAAGGATACACACAGTAACAGCAAATGGTATCAAAAATTGGGATTTAATTGCAGCTGATTGATTTCTAGCCTTATTGTTAAATGATTCAGTGTCTGAAAAGTGCTGGTTTAGTTATTGTCCAGTTTCCTTGGAAATGCTTTTGGGTTTTATTTGTGAACTAAGCAAACCCAGGGCATCATCTCCTCTTTAAATCCATCTTTGTCCTTGTCCTTAGGGAAGACAAACCTCTTCATGTGCCATTTTAATGAAATTAATCACAAACCAAATCTCTGAGGCTTCTTGGTAGGATGTTTACCCCTGGTTTGCAGGTAAAACATTTTAAGCAACTTTTATTCTGCAGAAATTTTACACTTTTCAATCCCCACAGGCCGATTGGTGGGGTGGGAGAACAGTTCCATGTCCCGGGAGTGGCTGGAATAATGGAATTATTTAGGCTGGAAAAGACCTCTGCATTTGCTGTAATTTTTAATGTAAACCTTCCTTAAGCATTTATTCAAGTTTAATTTCTGTAAATAACCCTGGTTTAACTCACCAACAACCTCCCTGGGCCTGTCACCACTGCCCAGGCACCAGGACAGACAAATTGAGGCAATAGGATTGTCCTGGATTATGGCACTGCTATTTTAAGGGATGGAATTTGGAGTAGATTCTTTCAAAAGCAATGGATTCTCCACTCCTGATTCCAAGGGGGAATGGCCACGGCAGCCTGTGCCACTCCTGTGTGGGGCAGTTTCCCTGTCCCTGCACGTGGCTCTGGAGGGACCAGCAGCACCCATCTCGGGGTCTGGGTGTCAGGATGAGCCCAAGAATGTAAAAGTCCTCATTTCCCAGCCTGTGCAGCCAAAGAAGAAGTTTGAATGTGTAGGATCAACTTCTCAAGGTTGTTTATTTTCCCTTATCTAGAACATTCTTTTTCTGACCTGCTAAACTCTGTCCAGCACTCGGCCATGGCATTCTGTCCCAAATCTCGGGTGGTGTTTACATTTTATACTCAAAACTATGTGTATTATATTTACAATAATGTGCCATCCATCCTTTCCAAGAAATACCTATCCTGTATGTTAGACAGTGTGTCTCTACCTTAAACCAATAGAAAAGTGATTTTATAGTGAGCTAATAAATATATAAAATGGCCAGGCTGCCATGGCCATTCCCCCTTGGAATCTGGAGAATGGGGATCACTCCGGAGCACAGGGACACTCCAGCCCCTTGCTGGGCAGGATCCACTGTTGTGTGGACAAACAGTGCAGCCAGCAGGGACAAACCCTGGGCCTGTCCTTTGTGTGCTGGACATTTCCCTGCCCCGACACACAAACAATCCCTTTGTGCAGGACACAAACAAGGGCAGGTTCCTGGCACGACACAAAGAACGGATTCAACGTCGGGATCAGCTGAGCTGTGCCCATGACGTGGCCTGTTTGCCACCAGCCCCAGCAGCCCCCACTGGTCACTGCTCCAGCCCAGGGCCTGGCCCAACTGGGTTTTTCCTAAGAGAAAACCCGGTGGTTTTTCTCCAGGAAGGAAGAGGAAGGCAAATTCCCCAGCAATGGCTCCGTGGGAGCTGTGCCAGCACTCCCCGGCACATCCTGACACAGCTGGTGGCATCCTCTGCCCCCTGCTCTGGCCACCAGCCCCCCAGGTCTGGCACGGCGCTGGGACACATTGTGTGCTTCCATGGGCACCCACAGCACGGGGAATGTCATGGGGAATGTCACAGAGAATGTGGGGCCCTTGGCACTTCGAATGTCACAGGGAATATCACAGGGAATGTCACAGGGGATGTCACAGGGAATGTGGGGCCCTTGGCACCTCGAATGTCACAGGGAATGTCACAGGGAATGTCACAGGG